GATGCTAAATATGTATTATCTAGCATCATTATACTTAGCTGACTGGAAAGAAGGCCCTGGATAGTGATCATCAGTAGATTTTTTTTTTTTTTTTAAACAAAATCTCCTTTTGGATGTGTGAACAGTTGGGAAGAGTCACATTTGAGCTTCTCTGATGTCAAAACAGTAAACGTGGCTCCAGTGTCCAATCTTGTTATTACTTTTAGTTTTTATTACTTCACAGGAGCCAATTTCTTAACTACCACTACCTGCTTCTAGACTCAAAACCCAGGTGCTCTGTGGTTTCAGTCTCACTCACCAATTCACATTTTTATTCTGTTTTTGCTCCACAGAGATACTTGGTTCTTTAAGCTTGACTACATCTGCTTTGGTTCCTTTCCTGTCTTATCTTACAGTAGCAGTATTAGTATGCATTTTGAGATAATACATCAAAACATAAACCATCCCTACTTGATCAGAAGTCTACATGGAATATTCAAATCCATACACACCCCAATACAAACCCAAAAAAGTCCATACACATTCTTTCTGACTTTTGAGTGACTGATCTTAACCATTTTCCACTTCCAAAGAAATTTATATCAAATGATCTATTTAGTGATATTAATGACATAAACTGTTACCTCCCAGAAGACTGTTGTAAATTATGGTCCAAAGTCCTTTAATCATAAGAACATTGAGGTATATTTTATTTCAAAGAACCAAAGAGTTAAGTGCCACTGATTTGCAACTTGGAATTCAATTTCTTCTTATAAAAATCCAGTTATAACTTATTAAAACTGAAAATGCTTATGGGAGGGGGAGGGGGCTGCAGGAGGATGAATGACTTTTAGAATAGCCTGAGAATCGTGAATAAAGAAAAACATTGCTGTGTTTATTTAGAGAGTATTACCCCTTGGAGCCAGCATTTGCACTAATGCATTTTACATTAGCGTGCCGCATCAGGAAATCCTGAATTCTGGTGCCAAGGGGGTAATTAATATCAGTTCATGTTTTCAAAATGGTTGTGTTTATGTGGGAATGAGGACTGAGCACTAACATGTTGAGTTTGAAGTATGAAAGCTTGCTGTGAAGCAAGATCTTGGGAAAGAATGGAATACTGAAATTAATGAATAGGAATAGGATTTCTATGGATAGACTAATATTAGTACTGAAAAGAAAGTCACTGCCACACTTCCTTTTTCTTAATTTACTAAGCTAACCATTAACCGAAATAATCCCCTGGTATAGTTGCATCGAGAGGAGATAAAATCCGTGATAGCTATAAACAGTACTTTGGTCCATGATGTCAGGAGTCCTAAAAGTGCAGAAAACTTGATTGGTATGAAAAAGTATGAAAAATAATCAATATTCCAAGATATCCTTCCATAGCTAATATAGTTACACTTCCTACAGATATTAAATCCTTTATATTTGACCTGAAACTGAATGATAAAAGCTATTACAGGTATAAAATTAGAATGTTTAGTACATCTTCCCCACCCACCCCCTCAAAAGGAAAGTCAGCAGGTAAACTAGAATCAATGTATACACTTCAGATAGTCAAAGTCAGAAAACTAAGGAAAGAGCAAGAAAACATTAGAGAAAAAAGTCCAAAGATCAAGTTTGGGCAGAAGAAGCCATAATAAAATTAAAAACACAAGAGACTTTATGAAGTCCTATCTAAAACATAATCCTCAAAGTAAGTATTCAGAACACATGCTATTTATAAAATTTATAAAGATGTCAAATGATAGTAAATAGTAAGTATATTTTTACCAGTACTTTAACTAAATCTATTGTTACTAAATACAGCATTCAGCTAATTCAAGTGGTGGAAAGCTGAATATGATCTTAAACGAAATATAATGGGTTTTATCCTGTTTCACTAGTTAAGAATATGAACTAAATACAAAGTACACTACACACACAATAAAAACTTGTCACTTCTAAAAACTATGACTCCACGCAGAATATGTCACAGGGTAGTATGAACTGGCCCTCCCCTGTGTGACCCTACATTAGAGTATAGGGCTTGCTGCTATAACAAAGAGCCTCATGAGACAGAAGTGGTACTTCTCTCATGTCATCATCCAGGCAGATAGGCAGTGGGGGGTCCATGAGGCCATTCAGGAGACTTTTCATTTTATTTAGTTGCACTGTCATCCTCTAAGTAATTTTCTAATATGTTAAGTTCAGATCTCCCTACTAATATGTGATAAGCAAGCCCTTGGGAAATGGAAGAGAGAAAATGGAGCATACTTTTTAAAATGTCATCTAGAAGTTACACACATCACTCCAGCCCCTCTTCCACAGGAAGCTGTAAAATGTAGTCACTACGTAGGTGGCCATGTGTCACCCAGAACTTGGGGATTATTTTTAAAAGAAGAGAGGAGACTATTGATTGTCATCAGTATTTCCTAACAGAGACCAAAAATGATGGAAAAAATCCTCATAATATTCAGGATTTTCCATTCACCTATTTTAACATTAAATAATTATTTATAATGTACCTCTCACAAAAAACCTCTCAGAATATTACCACAGTTACAAATTATAGCCTAAACATAAATGCACTGCTCACACATCTAAGTTCTTAAAATATAGATCTCTATCAGGAAAAAAATTTTTTAAATATATACATACATTTATCCACATGTATACAAATATATAATACATATGTATATATGAATGTGTATGTGTAATGTATATTTCAATAATTCTCTTACTATCAAGAAGCCACTCATTATTTATACCATTGCAGTTAACTCTTACCCAATAGTAAAACCCTTGTGAGGGGGAAAAATTAATAACTTTATGCCAACTAAGTGAAGTTATATTTAAATAAATCTAACTAGTCTTTGAAATGGCATAAATCAAGCATGTCTTAGCTATATTTAATTTTTTAGGTAAACAAAATAAGGTGACTTCTCAAATAAGTTGGTTTATTCAGTAAATGATATTGAAACAACTGGTTATCATATAGGATAAAAGCTAATGCTCTAAATCATATCATGTACAGTAAGTTTTAGAAAAATTAAAATAAGTATGGGGAATATTCTCATATATTTGGAAGTTAGGGAGGTTCTAAGAAGTTATGAAATTGAATATGTGAAGTCTTAAAACTTTAATACAGTGAAAGATATCAATAGTATATCTACAGTTAAATAATAGAGACTAAAGAGATGGAGAATATAGAAAGAGAATTAACATTTACATTTAGAGAACCACATATAATTTTGTAATTTGTGTATATGTATTTGTACAATTTCCTGTGTCTCTCATATGCCCAAAGAAAAATGTACAAAGAATATTAAAAGCCATTTCACAGCAAAAAATAATAAACTCCCTTTAAGTATTTTGGATGCTCAAACTTACAAATAAATCAAATGTAATTCAAATTAAATTCTGAGATAGCATTTTTTAAAAGCCTATTAGAATTGCAAAAATTAACAAGGCTAGTAATCTCGTGTTAGCAAGGATATATCCTTTAGGAAGATAATAGTGTACATGGCCTTAAACCTAACATACTAAAATTTATAGTTTAGAAATATTCCAACAATCATATAAAAACAAAACCAAAAAAACCTTGCCAGATAGTTTATGAAAGCTTTGCTTTTGCAATTGTAAAAAACAAACAAAAAATTCAAGATATTTTTTACCTAAATTTTTTTAAAAAGCTGCAAAACTGTGGTTAGTTAAATTCCAATTTTGTTTAAAAAGAGAAAATATCATCTCAGCTTACGTGTATAAAATCAAGCTGGAAGAAATGTATCAAACCTTCATAACAAGTGTTACATTTGAGAGATGAAATTAGGAAGACTGTACACTTAGTATACTTTTGCTAATACCTTAATGATTTAATATAAATCACTTTTTAAAATGAAAGAAAAGGCAGCAATTTGGCCATACGTATTCTGAGATGATTTTTCATTCATTGTTAACAATTAAAATACAAAATTTCCAAAGCAGGAAGAATCCTGGTACCAAGGTGTTACTTTAAAAAGTATTTATCTTTTAGAGATACTTATTGAAAGGATGAAAGGACATAGTGTTTGCTTCAATTTGTGGGTGGGTGTAAAGACAACACAAGACTGGCCACGAATTGCTAAGTGCCTCAGTCAGATTTCTGGTACACGAAGATCCTCATACCATTCTCCACACACACAAAAAATGCCATTAAAAAATTAAAAACAAAACCAAAACCAACTTGCCATCAAAGCTGCACAGACTACTAACATACTCTCAAATGCCAAAACTAGCACAGTTAAATATTTTTAAATGTTGATCAATAACTGCCCTGCTCTTCTTAGTAATGTTTCGCTTCTGGAATTTCATGGGATGGTATGATATTTCTTCATAATAATAAATTTTGCTAAAACGAAATTTCCAGTTTTACAATATATGGTCTGTATGGTGATGTCAAACTTGGTAGAAAGCTACTGGTAAAGTTATTCAGCTTTACTAGGTATCAAAGGAGTAAGGTAATTTTTGTCACCACCAATTAAAAACTTCTACGAAACAGGACTGTTATAAAACAATTAAACCTTGCAAATGCGGTAGTCTCCAGGAAGAAAGTCCTGGAGGAAATTCTGCTTATTAAAATTGCAATTTTAGTTTCCATTAAAAGGAGAATAAGACAACAGAAGATGGGTTGGCAAGACAAATTATTTCTTAATGTCAGTTGAGCTTATTTCAAATGAGATAACATATCTACACCAGGTTGGGTTCAGCACAATTTCGTCTCCTCAACTCATTTATCTAATTCAGTCATCTTGATTATAGCCTCATGGACTTCATTTTCAGAGAAAGAATTCCATAACAAACAGCCCACACAACATTCTGATTACTGAACAGTTAATTCTAATTAACTTGGGCATGACAAGAGAATTTTGATAAAGTCCTAGAATACAAATATAGTCTGCTTATACTAGACTAACTTATATAAAAAACCCACAGCACAGTCTCCAGACAGAACAAGAGAGTCAAAGAGATCTAATTTAAAAAAACAAATGAGAAAATTAAAATCACAAATAATTTATTCTTCTGTTAGAGTTGATACAGTTTTAAATAGCAACAAAGTACACAGTGGTGGAAAATTGGCACAGAACCTAAAAGCATTTCAGTCACAATAAGGCTGTCCATGCTTTATCTGTTAAAACTTGATGTCCATTTTCTACTGACCATGTTGAAAACAGCCTTATTCAGACCTTAAAACACACACACTCTCTCTTTCATACAGAGACACATTAAAATTTCTCCTTTTGGTTACAGTATGTTGAGAACAGTACATTTTGCTTTTTCAAATTTATGGCACCCCTTCTGTTTTGTTTCCAGTTGTAAGTGGGAAAAAACAATCCAATTATAAAGAATATACCTTATTCCCTGGGCACAGGCAACTGTGATGAAAATAGCAACTTACCTTTGGGCTAGATGTTTTCAGATTACGCTTAAAGAATTGTGGTTATAAACTTCTCAATGCATGATTTCCTGCCCAACTGCAAAATCCCTGAACTCAGCTCAAACAATCAGGCACAGGACAGTCTCAAATATGATTAAACAGACCATGCTAAACAGAGTGATCTGAAATGCAACCTCTATGCTTTTAATATAGATCAGAATAAACCTCATCAGCAAGCATTTTCCTAAACATCTCTATGTTCTATTAACCAACATAAAAAAGGGGGAAACGTAAAAGTACTCCTTTATAAATGGCATTATTTCCAGTCAAGAAAAGTTGAAAGGAAGGTTTATAAAGTCTTCTGAACTATTCTTATTATAGAAACCAATTATCCTTCTCATGTTAAAAAATAAAATACATCATTGTTGACTCTTCTTTGATATCATTTATAAAATGTTCTGATATTATTTACTAGTGATTACTCAAACAAGGTAAAATCAAAACTTTCATGTTCAGTTATTGCTGTTTTAGGAGAGGACTTACATGCAAACTGTTAACCAAGATTCTTCAGATCCCACACGAAGTAATTCTTATTGCCTCACATTTTAAAACAGAATTATAAATGATCTTTTATAAAAAAGGTTTTTGTCCACAAAACTGGAAAGCTTTTTTAAAAAATGTCTTTTTACTCAAAACTGTACCACAGTGCCCCTGATTAGCTGAGAGAAAAGGGGTCTGAATGTCCCCTGGAGAACCTAGTAGTGGACGTATGGGAGCTTTGTCTTCCCCCTCACCTTTAGCTTCACAGAACACCATTTTCAGACTAGCACAATCAAGCATCCAACGTGCTCCCGTCCCCATAACAGAGGATTTCTGATCCTGTCCAGCGTGTAGTGTACCGCCTTGCAGATTCACCACATGAAATAAACATAATATACAAAATATTGCTGCTGTAAAAAGTGTACATTTCCCTCTTCCCCTTACAAAAGAATCTATGGAAAAGTATTAAATTCCCTTAACCTTCATAAACATACAATGCTGTTCACACCTTTCAGTCTGTAACAGTCCGTTTGAAACGCAGTTCCGAAATCATTGCAAATTGGGTATGTCATTGTATTTTCTGTCCAATGTTGCCATCTAGAGTAGACATGTGAAATCAAGAGTATTTTTGAGCTACTAAAGCCTTTTTATAACTAAGCCACACAGGCTGCTTACGGATGAAACAGCCGCTTATCCACAAGGTTTTTCCAAAAACTAGATGGAATGGAAGGGTCTCTTCAAAGGAAGGTGTCCACAGTGCTGAGGCGACAATATGGCTGCTAGTAGATCCTGGCTACTGGAATGGAAGTACTTTTCACTGCTGGTAGTTTCCATACTGCCCCTTAAAGATAAATTTTAAAATGTAATTAGATGATCATTTGACCATAATAGTTTGCACAGAAAATCACAAGTAAGTCTTTACACTGTCATATGGCAAAAGCAGCTTTCACAGCATACAGATATCGTTCTAGGTATATATAATATCTCTGTAACTTTTTTCTGATATCACAGTCAACTGCAAATGGATTTCAAAATCTTTGAGCCTAGAAACAGCACATAATGAGAATTTAAGTTTCTGGTGAATTTTGATGAACTGAATTGATCAGGAATGAGCGAGAAGTTCTGGCTCTAAACTCTGGCATGGTGTATATCAGTGTATAAATTATGTGCTAGTATACAAAGTTTGTAACTGTTTAGATTATTATAACTACTTATGTATTAACACCAAGTTAGAACAAGTAGCAAGGATGAAGAGATATCTGGGAGATAAGGGGAAAAGCACCTATAGCCTGTCTACAGAATTTGGGCCTCTCCCTGAGGCCAGTGAGGTATTAGCAGACATATTCAGATAGGCAGCTGGTACATAAAATCAAAGAAAGACTGTTGTGCTTTTGTTGCTTTTATTTTATTTTTATTTATTTTTGCTTTTATTGCTTTTAATAAGGTAGGTTTGAAGGGCCTGCAGGCTGACAGCAAGGGAAAGAAAATAAAGTATAGATATAAAAGAGGTAATGAATGAAACAGCAACATTCTACAAGGGAGGTAAACAATGTCCAGTATACAACTGTTAAAGCAAGTTTTTAGAAAAGAGAAGCAAAATATTTTTCTCCAAAAGAGAAGAAAGGTAGAAGAAAAGAGAGACCAGAAAAAATATACTTTAGTAAAATATCTTAAATGTGTTTTAAAAAGATGCTCATAAAAGCACTTATTTTCCAAAAACAGTATTCACTGGAAGCACATAATCAGCTATTTACTCTGGCTAAATATCCCCTTCTAAGTCACATTAATTATTTTATATCAAGAAAGTATTCTAGAGTTGAACTCCTCCTATACCATAAGAAGTAGTACCCTAAAAGTTTACACTTTCATAGAAGTAAATATACTTGAAAATCTGCTGAATACCACTATATCTAAGCAGATAATGCACTATAAATAGAATTAAGGTTTGAAAAATTTTGATGTATTTTACATAATTATATTCAGAAAGATTTAAAGTCAGAGTTCACCTTATAATATGTGTAGGGCTTCCTAGGTGGTCCAGTGGTTAAGAATTCAACTGCCAATGCACACGACACGGGTTTGACCCCTGCTCTGGGAAGATCTCACATACCGAGGAGCTACTAAGCCCATGGGCCACAACTACTGAGCCCACGCTCCGCAATAAGAGAAGCCCCTGCAGTGAGAAGCCCACGCACCACAAAGAGCAGCCCTACTTGCCACAACTAGGGAAAACCCCACAGAGCAATGAAGACAGCACAGTCAAAAAATAAACAGGCCATTAAAAAAGATAAAATTATAAAAAGAAATATTTATAGGTAGGATTTGCTTTAAAATAATAAAATAGGGTGGAAAGTATATAAAACAACATTGGTGAAAATGTTGATAATTGTTGAAGTTGGTTTGTAAAGTACCCAGGGATTCATGAGGTTCTTCTCTGCTGTCTTTGTTTAAAAATTCCTATGTGCTGTGCTTAGTCGTTCAGTTGTGTCCAAATCTTTGCAACCCCTTGTGTCCATGGGGATTCTCCAGGCAAGAACACTGGAGTGGGCTGCCGCGCCCTCCTTCAGGGGATCCTCCCGACCCCGGGATGGAGCCCAGGTCTTCCGCACTGCAGGTGGCGTCTACTGCCTGAGCCTCCAAGGAAGCGCAAAAACTCCTACAGCACGAAGGGCGAAGTAAGACGCGCTTCCTGTATGGGGCCTGCCATTCAGCTGTACAGGTATCTAAGTACCGAGCTTAGATCCCAACGCCTGTTAACTGTTTGAGACGCAGATGCTTCACCGATGAGGTGGGGACTGTAACATGCTCATCTCTGGATCTCAGCTTTCTGTTGAAGGTTACATGAGTTCTACCTCATTTGTTTGCTAGGACACTCAAATAAGAGAGGACATGAGAAAGCGCTTTCAAAAATTACAAAAAAATTAGAAATAAGCAAGTCTCAATGCTGGAAGGAAACACTCTCCTAGTGAATGTGTATAATGAGATAGTAATGATGAAAGCAAGTGGCACATATTACGAATCATGTGAATGCAGAAGAGAGGTAAAAACTGATGTGCTATATAAACAGAAGCTATAATCTACTATAGTATGAATTAATGATAGGGACTAGGTCTTATCCATTCTTAGGCCCCAAGTATTGATGAGGGCCTGACACACAAGACTTCTTCAATAATGTATGCCAAATATGATATTCAAGCAATTACAAACATTTACTGAGTAAATATTATATGTTCATCACTGTAATAAACCTGAAAAATAGGGAAAATAAGATTTACAAATGGAGGAAAAATGGGTAAAAAACACTTAGGTAACTGGAGAATAAAAAAGAATGTACAATAATAAGGAGTAGAAGCTCTTGATTATTTGGTAACACACAACTTGAAGTAATAGATGCAAGTCTAATATCAATAATAGCTAACTGTTAATATATCTCAATAAGATCTTAATTACCAGATGTCAAACACCATAATAAGCGCTTCGTGTTCATCTGTTACTTATGTAGTACGCATTATCTCCATTTTAAAGATGAAGAAACTGAAGCCCTGAAAATTTAAGTAACTTAATCTACACTTAATCACTTCGCTAGGATAAAATCAAATACAAGCAAGCCCCCCCAAATACTGTATATGTGTAACCATTAGCAAATTCTAGGGTTAAAAGTAAGGGTTTTGGAGCCGGAAATCTATTTCTAGTTTTAATCCTCCTGCTTAACAGTTTCTTGTCCTTGAGGCCAGTTACCTACCTTCCCTTTCTTGATTTTCTCATCTGACAAGTGAGGATAATTGTAATTCCTGCTTCAGACAGTTATTCAAGAAGAGCATGAAGATGCTTTGCACACAGCTGGTGTGGCTGGAGGCAGCCTGGTACACTGCCTCCAGTGTACTGGAGTGAACTGGACCCCCAGGAAGGGTCCAGTCACTGGGTCTCTAGTCACTCAGGACTTACCACCCAGCTCGACCACTTCTCACCTCGGTCATCTTCGGTCAACCACGTCTACTCTCTAGGCCTCGGCATAGCATCTCTGCTTCTTCAATTTTTCTTTTCCTTTTTTAAATTACAAAATTTCTCTGAGTAAAGAATGAATGGGAAAGGATGCAAGAAGACAGCATGGGAGAATCCTTCATCCTGTGATGAAGTTAGGACATATTAATGGTCTAAACAAAGACAAGGCACTTTTAGAAGTGGACGGATACAAGAATGTTGAAGGAGACCAGGCTAACAAGATTTTGTCATTTACCAGATGGAGAGAGGGAGATGGAGAAAGACTTAAGCACCAAATGTGGCACATGGAATTCTAACTTGGCAATAGTACCTCTCTCTGATAGACAACACAGAAAGGAGGAATGTGTGGCAGAGATTATAAATGTTTTGGTTATATGAAACTGATATGCTACTTCTAATTGCAGATGACTACTAGGCGCCTGATGTTCAGAAGAGAAAGTCAGACTAGAAATAAAGATTTGACAGTCAACAGCACGGTAAATTGAAACCCTGTGAGTAAATGAGATTTTTCTAGAGAGTGTATGGTGTGAAGAGTCCCTAGACTGAACAATAACTGAGTAATATCAACCATCTTTAAATTTCTTTTTTTCATTCACCTAATCATATAAAGGTCTTAAAATTACTGTCAGAATACTTTTTAGGGGTTTCTTATGATTCTTATGATCACCATTCAGATTTAGAAAGTAAAGGCGTTATATGTTCACTCACCATATTTATTGACTACTCAGTGTGTTCCCTGGAAGAAAAGCTATGACAAACCTAGAGAGCATATTAAAAAGCAGAGATACTACTTTGTCAACAAAGGTCCATACAGTCAAAACTATGGCTTTTCCAGTAGTTATGTATGGATGTGAGAGTTGGACCATAAAGAAAGCTGAGCGCCAACGAACTGATGCGTGCGAATTCTGGTACTGGAGAAGACTCTTGAGAGTCCCTTGGACTGCAAAGAGATCAAACCAGTCAATCCTAAAGGAGATCAGTCCTGAATATTCATTGGAGGGAATGATGCTGAAGCTCTAATACTCTGGCCACCTGATGCGAAGAGCTGACTCACTGGAAAAGACCCCAGTGCTGAGAGAGATTGAAGGCAGGAGGAGAAGGAGCTGATGAGAGGACAAGATGGTTGGATGGCATCAAAAACTCAATGGACATGAGTCTGAGCAAGCTCTGGGAGACAGTGAAGGACAGGGAAGCCTGGCGTGCTGCAGTCCATGGGGTCACAAAGAGTTGGACACACCTGAGCAACTGAACAACAACAATAACAGCAATGTGTTCCACTGGGTGGTGGAGACTCAACAGTGATAAAAACAGACATGGTGCTGTCTTTAAAGAACTGACAGTCTAGCGGAAGAGAGTATGATAATAAACCTAACTACATAATGTGTCACATGGAGATAAATGCTATGCTAGAAAATAAAAGCATTCAACATCATATTTAATGAAACTTTCCTGCTAAGATCTAATGAAACTTTTGTGCTAAGATCAGGAACAAAGCAGAGATGTCCCCTCATACCACTCTTTCTCAACACTGTACTAAAATTCCTAGCTTATGCAATTAGAAAAAGAAATAAAGATAAACAAATTGGAAAAGGAGAAATAAAACTGTCTTTGTTTGCTGATGACATGACTGACTTGGGAGAAAATCCCACAGAATCAACAATAAAAAAACCTCCTGAAACTAATAAGCAAGGTTGCAGGATACAAGGTTAACACAGTAAAGTCCCCTATATACTAGCAACTGAGACAGTCAATTCCTGGGCAGGTTGATAAGAAGTCCAGGGTCACCGAGGAGGAGAGAGGGGTCTGGAATTCTCAAGGAGGAGGAAAGGACAAACGTCTTTTTTTTCTGTGTTCCTTAGTCTGAGTCATAAAACACTTTTTTCTTTAAGCCTGGAAGTGATGCTTATACAACAAACAACTCAGTTTAAACTCTGTACTGAGGATTATGTAACAACAATGTATCCTGCCTGAGGACAGCTTCTCCTTCCTGAAAATCTTCTGACTAATCCTGGTATCTTGGGATGTATATTATGGGAAAATCCTTCTGTTGTTAAGTTCTAATCCTATTATCTTAAAATGTAAACTGTGGGAGTGGGTTTGGTAAAATTTTTACAACCTTGAGACATTCTTGTGATTTATTGTAATAACTAATTTAAAAACTATATAACCCCCTTGCTAACACTAGCGAGGGGGCCACTCTCTGTCCCCCTTCCTATGTCTGTGTCAGAAGCTTTCTCTGTCCCTTTTCTTAGTTTAATAAAACTCTGCTACACAAACGCTCTTGAATGATCAAGCCTGTTCTCTGGTCCTAAAGCTAAATCTTCTTCAGAGATCATGAATCTCACACCATTCACGGTAAGTTATCACAATGAACAAGTGGAATTTGAAATTAAAAATAATACCATCTACATAAGAATTCTCCCCCACAAGTTAAATTCTTAGGTATAAATCTAATAAAATATATATAGAACTGTATAAGGAAAATTTAAATAGTAATAACTAAATAAATGTAGAGATTCTCCATGTTCATGGATAGGAAACTCAATATTGTTGAGATATATGAGTTCTTCCCAACTTGATCTAAAGACTACTCAACACAATTGCAACCAAAATCTTCAAGTTATTTTTGGATACTGACAATATAATTGTAAAATCTATATGGAGAGGCAGAAGACCCAGAATAACCAAGGAATACTGGAGGAGATGAACAATGACTGATAATGTTCAGCTTCAAGACTTACTATCAAGCTCTAACAATTAAGACAATGTGATATTGGTAAAAGAATAGAAAAATATATCGATGGAAGTGAACAGAGAGCCCAGAAATAGATCCACTTAGATACAGTCAACTGATCTTTGGCAAAGGAAAAAAGGTAATACAATAATGCAAGAGTGGTGTCACTCAACAAATGGTGCTAGTTAACTGGACATCCGCATACAAAAAAGTGAATCTAGATACAAATCTTAACAATTAAGGTTTTCTCAATTCAGAAAATTAACTTAAATAAGAAATTGACCTAAATGTAAAATACAAAACTAATAAAGCTCCTAGAAGGTAACATAAGAGAAAACATAGGTGACCTTGAGTTCTATGGTGACTTTATAGGAACAATATCAAAGGTGTGATCCACGAAAGAAATAACTGATAAACTGGACTTCATTAAAATTAAAACTTTCTACAAAGACAATGTCAAAAAATAAGAAAAGCCAAGAAAACAAAAAAGTACTCGAAAAAGACACATCTGATAAGGACTGTTATCTAACCTATTCAAAGAACTTACAACTTAACAATAATAAACAACTCTATTAAAAAATGGGCCAAAGACCTGAAAGATACCTCACCAAAGAAGATATAAGGATGGCAAAAGAAGATATAAGGATGGCAAACGAGCACATGAAAGGATGTCTATATAATATGTCATTGGAGAAATGCAAAATAAAACGAGATACGCCACACACCTATTAGAATGGCCAAAACTCTGAACACTGATAACATCAAATGCTGATGAGGGTGCAGAGTGACAGGAATTCGCATTCACTGCTGGTGAGAACGCAATATGGTTGAGCCACACCATTATCAAGATAAAGGACAAGCTCCCCTCTATGTCTTACAAGAGTCCTCCGAACCTGGCCCTAATTTATCTCTCCACTCTTGCCTCTTCCTCCCCACACTTCTGCTTCACTGAGCCACATATCTCAACACTAGTCCTTCATGAGTGCACTTCTTTCTGACAAGAATACCATTCTGTTCTCTACAACAAGCTGGCTCCTGCACTTATACTTCCCAAGTAACATGTATCTGAGTTAAGCGCTCCCTTTCACAAAAATCTTGCCTTCCCTCATACAAGTACCTTCTCACACTACATCATATCATCTACTTACTTGTCTGTACCCCACCTAGACTTAAGTTCACAAACACAGAGTCCATATCGATCTAATTTTCCTAACATGTTCCCATCTTGGCATATAAATGTTGCTCAAGAACCATTTGCTTAATGAATGATATAAGCTTAGGAGATTCAGAAACATGATGAGTCAGAAAGAAAATGATGAAGCTGAAGAAAATGGCAAGACACCCAGAGAGATGTTCTGTACACAGCTGAAAAAATGGAGCTGGAGCTGGGTTGAGAAGGGTGGGTTAAGGATACGGAAAATGTAAGACAGGAGGAATACAGACCGAAAAACACTAAGCCAAGGATTGATAAAAGAAACTGATGGGGGGTAAAAGAAAGATGAGAAACAAATAAAAAATAGAAAAGGAATCACTGGAAATGTAAGAGGAACGAAACAGTAGTCACACAGAAGCTAAAACACCACTTAAGAATGAAAATAGGAACCTGAGTCAAATGCTAAAATGAGGTTAAGGAAGATGGAGGGAGTTTCTCCATGAGCCATAAGGACCAGGTCTGTTTCACTCATCTAGGACACAATAGAGTGCCCAGCACACACGGGAAATTAATAAAAATTTGTTGAATTACGGAGTAAATGACCACTTTTCAACAGCTATCCTGTGGATTAGAATGAGCCTAAATTATATCTGCTCAGGGATCCTGTCCTTAGATACTCACTAGTCAACACTTATTTTTCAATTAAATAAACCTACCTAATCCTTTGACTTAATCTTAGTATATTCTTTTTAATATTACTTATCTGTCCACATCCTTTTATTTTTCCCACCTAACTAGAAAGTGTCAGTTACAAGAGGGTTGTCGACTTGAGAGAGCGCTGACGAAAGAGCTGCTCATGCCTCATCATCTAACCAGCATTGTATATGACTTGTTCCTCAAACTAGATCATTCCTACTGGTCCTGTAACCCTGACATTAGAAAGTAAGTATTTTAGGCAGCTTAAGTGGTGAACAGATCAGATTCTCCTCACTGTAAAATCATTAAACAAACCTAAAATCAATCAAAAAAAAAAAAACCTGCCAACATAATAAATCATCTTAATAATTTAGAGCATGTATGAGAAGATTCATAAAACAATGACTGTGGCGCAGATTATTAAGCCTGAGCAATTTACTGACGAAAAGAAGGTTTAAGAGAACCCAGACATCATAGGATGAGATGCACTTATACTCATCTAAAGGAAGCAGAAGGAAGGGTAACAGGGGAGAAAGAAAGAGTATTAACATCTGACACAGTGGACAGGGGTACAGGAGGCAGCAGAGACGCTGTGAGCATGAACGGAAAGAGAAAGGCCACCGTGGCTGCTGAGGATGTGGAGTGAACGTGCCGACATGAAGCGGAGAGCCAGTGAGTGCACTGACTCAGACGGACTCCACGTTTCAACAGGGCAGGTCTTGAGGAGTCTTGAACAATAAGCAGAAGGGAAATAAGAGAAACCAGGGGGTTTAGAATACAGGATAATGTTTGGAAGGGCTAAGGGAAGCATGCCTGCAGGGTAAAGACTAGAGAGAGGCTATAAATGAATGAACATGAATGAATGCTGGTGCCTGGAGAATGCCATGTTTTATATGCGCAAGTAACCATGCTGCTGCTGCTAAGTCGCTTCAGTCGTGTCCGACTCTGTGCAACCCCATAGACGGCAGCCCACCAGGCTCCCCTGTCCCTGGGGTTCTCCAGGCAAGAACACTCGAGCAGGTTGCCATTTCCTTCTCCAGTGCATGAAAGTGAAAAGAGTAAGTGAAGTCACTCGGTCGTGTCTGACTCTTCGCGACCCCATGGACGGCAGCCAACCAGGCTCCTCCATCCATGGGAGTTTCCAGGCGAGAGTACTGGAGTGGGGTGCCATTGACTGTGCTAGCATTCTATGAAAAAGACTCAAGAGAAAATATTTTTTTTTTTTTAGTTAACTCATGTTATAAACAAAAGGAGGGAAAAACGAGTTGCCAGCTGAAAAATATTTAAGCTAATCAAGAGTGAGCAAACAATGGGGCAGCCACACAGCCGGCCAGGTAACTTACCTGGTCGTACCCATAAGGCCTCTGCTGCGGTGGCTGTGGGGGTCCAGGCTGCGCCGGTCTGTAAGCCCCATACTGCTGACCTTGTCCCTGTGCGTAGTTAGGATACTGAGGACCTGGGCCGCCCTGTGAAGGACCTGCAAAACAATTAACACAAATAAAACCCCAGAAGAAAATACAGCAAGTTCCTAGAATTCTAGAAAGGGTTTAGAATTAGATGTTACTATGCTCTCATTTTTAAACTCAAAAGAATAGTTTGCTACCTTGATTCTTCTCAAATGCTTTTTGAAATAAATTCCAAAATTTATAAGTAAAAATACTGTTAGGTTCAAGAAGGAGGGGACATAGGTATACTTATGGCTGATTCATGCTGACATTTGGCAGAAACCAACACAATATTACAGAGCAATTATCCTTCAATGAAAAATAAATTATAAAAAAATACTATAAGTTGTAAAGCACATGAACTCCATGATGTTAAGGAAACTCATCTGTATTTCTATTAGAAAGTTAACTAGTATGAGCAAGGGGTAAAAGAAAAAAGCAAGAAGCAGACTCAAAATACTGAAGAAATTTCTAATTAAAGTTTGGAAATCAGTGATAGTTGCAGCTGTATAACTCAACATTTACACTTGCATTCACTAGAAGAATCACAAAGAATGACTTTACATGTAAATTCCAGATTTAATTCACAATCACCAAAAGAAAGCTTTATGCTCTATCTACACTGACAAACACTGACAAACAGAAAGTAAAGAAGACTTGAAGAGCCACAGATCGCAAGTGAAAAAGCACGATTCAAAAGTTACACTCTGTACCCATCACCTTTAACACTTAACACACATAAGTGAATGATTTCAACGTCCAGAGAGACAAGGGACTAATTTGGCTTGCCAAAAAAATGTGTTTATTTCGTAAATTCTACTACTGTCTATTGTCAAGAATGCTTTATAAAGCATAAGCTGAAATGCTTTCGTGCTTAAATGTTTTCAATCACAGCCATTCAAAACCTATCACAGAAAACACTGATTATAGAGAAATGTCAAAGAGAACAAATTTTCAAGCTGAAATAAATTCCATCAGTCTACTCTTTTGACTATGTAATTATTATGTACCCAATTATTAAAACTAAATTTTCTATTAGAATGAAGTTTGACAACTAAAACCTACAGATAAGCAAAGTGGGAACATTTCCATGAGGGTACCCAATGTCAGACAGAAAAGCATTTAACCACTTAAACCCAGATTTAACCACTTAAACCCAGTAAATTTCTTTTACTCTCTCTTTCCACTGAAAATATTTCTCTTAACTCAATAAACTTGCCTGACTGATCCATGTAACATTTGTTTTCATACAAACACAATAAAACCAGAATACTCTATTTATTCAATGTACAAAATGTCCAATGGTCATGAAATGGAAATGCCATTTGAGAGTAGTAAGAATATCCGTTCAAAAAGACAAGAAATACATGGAATATTTCTAAAGTCATATTTGGAATTAGGGAACCAGAATTGATCAATGAGGGGAAAATACCTAACTTCCAATACTTGACTGAAATTTCAGTGCTTACTTGCGAAGGTACAAGAGAATTTTAGCCTGATTCTGGTTCTCAGATTTGCTATCACAGGTGGAAAGAGGTGCCCATAATAACAGCAGAGTTTAAATCAATGAATAAAAAGAGTATGACATTGTTGTTTTCAGTCACTAAATTAGGTCTGACTCCTTATGACCCCATGGACTGCAGCCTGCCAGGTTCCTCCATCCCCTACTATCTCCCAGAGTTTGCTCAAATTCATTGAGTCAGTGATGGTATCCAACAATCTAATCTCCTGTTGCCCCCTTCTCCTTTTGCCTTCAATCTTTCCCAGCATCAGAGTCTTGTCTAATGAGTCAGCTCTTAGTATCAGGTGGCCAAAGTACTGGAGCTTCAGCATCAGTCCTTCCAATGAATATTCAGGGTTGATTTTTTAGGATTGACTGGTCTGATCTTGCAGTCCAAGGGACTCTCAAGAGTCATCTCCAGAGTCATCTCCAGCACCACAGTTCAAAAGCATTGATTTTTTGGTGCTCAGCCTTCTTTATGGTCCAACTCTCACATCTGTACACAACTACTGGAAAAACGATATTTTCAACTATACGGACATTTATCGGCAAAGTGATATCTCTGCTTTTTAACACACAGTCTGGGTTTGTCATAGCTTTCCTTCTAAGGAGCAAGTGTATTTTAATTTCACAGCTGCAGTCATCATTCACAGAGATTTTGGAGCCCAAGAAAATAAAATTTGTCACTGCTTCTACTTTTCCCCTTCTATTTGCCATGAAGTGATGGGACCAGATGCCATGATCTTAGTTTTTTTTTAATGTTGAGTTTCAAGTCAACTTTTCATTTTCCCCTTTCACCCTCATCGAGAAGCTTTTTAGTTCTTCTTCACTTTTTGCCATTAGAGTGGTATCATCAGTGTATCTGAGGGTCATTGATATTTCTTCTGTTAATCTTGATTCCAGCTTGTGATTCATCTAGTCCTACATTTTGCATATAAGTTAAATAAGTAGAGTGATAATATACAGCCTTGAAGTACTCCTTTCCCCATTCTGAACAGGTCATTCTATGTCCAGTTCTAACTGGTGCTTCTTGACCCACACACAGGTTTCTCAGGAGACAGCTAAGGTGATCTGGCATTCTCATCTCTTTTAAGAATTTTCCAGTTTGTTACAATCTACAAAAGGCTTCAGCATAGTCAATAAAGCAGAAGTAGATGATTTTCTGGAATTCTCTTGCTTTCTTCATGATCAAACAAATGTTGACAATTTGATCTCTGGTTCCTCTGCCTCTTTGAAAACCATCTTGTGCATCTGGAAGTTCTCAGTTCACAGACTTGAAGCCTAGCTTGAAGGATTTTGTACATATCCTTGCTAGAATGTGAAATGAGCACAATTAGATGATAGTTTGGACATTCTTCTTTCATTCAATGGAATGAAAATTGACCTTTTCTAGTCCTGTGGCTACTGCTAAGTTTTCCAAAGTTGCTGACATATTGAGTGCAGCATTTTAACAACATCATCTTTTAAGATTTTAAATAGCTCAGCTGGAATTTCATCACCTCCACTAGCTTTATTCATAGTAATGCTTTATAAGGCTACTTGACTTACATTCCAGGATGGCTCTAAGGGAGTGACCACACCATAGTAGTTATCTGGGTAATTAAGACCGTTTTTGTATAATTCTTCTGTGTATTCTTGCTACCTCTTCTTAGTCTCTTCTGCTTCTGTTAGGTCCTTACCACCTCGGTCCTTTATTGTGTACATCTCTGCATAAATGCCCCGTTAGCTCCAATTTTCTTGAAGAGAACTCTAGTCTTTCCCCTTCAATTATTTTTCCTTTATTTCTCTGCATTGTTCATTTAAGAAGGGCTTTTATCCTCTCTTTGCTATTCTCTGGAACTCTGCATTCAGTTGAGTATATGTTTCCCTTTCTGCCTTGCCTTTCACTTCTCTTCCTTCCTCAGCTATTTTGTAAAGCCCCTTCAGACAACTACTTTGCCTTCTTGCGTTTCTCTTTGGGATGGTTTTGGTCGCTGCCTCTCGTACAACATTACAAATCTCTGTCCATAGCTCTTCAGATACTCTGTCTACCAGATCTAGTCCCTTGAACCTATTTGTCACCTCCCCTGTATAATCATCAGGGATTTGATTGAGGTCATACCTGAATGGCCTGGTGGTTTTCCCTACTTTCTTCAATTTAAGCCTGAATTTTGCAATAGGGAGCTAGCTCATGATCTGAACCACAGTCATTTAGACATATTGATGTAAAAAAAAAGAGACCCTGTTAGCAAAAGATGATATCTAATTAAGAAGCTATATCTCCTATCATAGGAACTATACTTTCCTATATCTCAATAGTCATAGATAATTAAGACTGATATTTCAGACTGATATATCAGGTCTGTATCATTCCCCACTCCCTATCTAATAGATAGCCAACTAGTAAATACTACAGTGAGAATATAATAAGAAAAAATGGCTATACTTCCTCCAAACTCTGTAAGATACATACCTGCAATAAACATACCCCCATGAAAAGTGTACACTGCTATTTTAAAAGGGCATGACAAAAACAGTTTCTCTAGACATTCCAAATGGACCTCATTTGTACACTAAAGGATCAATGTTACTTTTCATGGTAACAGTCATTAGTTTTGGAAACGAATTTGCCAAGCAGATTATGTAGATACTGTTAGTAATCACCCAACTCATCAGTTTTCTAAGCACATACAAAGCTACTGGTTGGTCATGAATGCCAAACAGGTTTAGGAATTGATTAATTAATGAATTCATTTCAAATGACTTTCTATACCTTACCTGTGGTCAATGAGCCATCTCCAGTTTATGCTTTCTCTTAAACAGACTACTAGTTTTAAGAACATTTTAAAGAGACACTCCATGAGCAAACTGAGCTAAAGCTGTGAATTTTCAAATGAACATTAAATATCCACTTCCACATTTTGAGGGGAGGGACAAAGTTAAAACTTCCAGAAGCAATTACCATAGCCCTGCTGCTGTCCTGGGTAGCCTTGCTGCCCTGGGTACTGCTGCTGGGGTGGGTAGCCCTGTTGGGGAGGTGGTCCTTGGTAGGCATCTTGCTGTTGGCCATACTGTGAATTTCCTACATGATAATTGGAGAAGAGGACAAAAAGAAAATACTGAGGAGTTTGCTTAATTAACTTTTTTCCTCTAAGATGCATAGCCAACAACACAAGAACAAAATGAAATGCTATATTGATTTTTTAAAGTTAACAAAACAAAGAAAAAACTCAAACCAAACAGAAGGATTTCGGCCAAACAAACTGCAGTTAAAGCCAATTTTGCAAGGTTGAACTGCAGCATTTTCAGCGTCTCTGCCATACGAGCATTACATTTACTGGAACATCACAGTCATAAGATCATGACTATGCTAAATAAAATAAAAAAGACAAAAATTAAAGACAGCTACAAGAGCACACACTAGCTACACAAGATCAGCAAGCTGTTTCCTAGAGGCACTAAACTTATATGTAAAATTATACATATGTGAACACACAACAAGAAAAAAAAAATTGGATTGATGGATTTATGTTCAAATAGAAAATTTCCACTGGGGAAAAAAATTATTTTAAAATGTTTTAGTCTTTTTATGGTTGTTAGAAATGGCAAGTCATGGTTATACATTTTAAATATTTGTAGGAAAATTATTCTGATTGTTCTAGGCTCCCTGGAACTTTCAAGACAGCCAGCAACTAGTATTCTACGAGAGCTTTGCATGGGTAGAAGTTGTCTTATGCAAGAATTTTTGTTCCTGTAGAAGGGGATATATATGTGTATGTGTGTGAAGGTATATAGATACCTCCTTCGTAGTAATGTTGTGAGGAATCCTCATAAGGCCTATCGTAGCCTTGTTCAGGATACGACGGTTGCTGATAACCGTAATCATTATGACCTACATCAATTCGACAAGAGACAGGAAGAAACGTTAATGGCCACTGAGTGAAAACCCTAAATATATTTATACTTTCAGATAAAACTGAAAAAAAAAAAAAGAAAAAGAAATGGAAATACATAAAAAATAATTTCAATTGCATTAGCCAAATATTTACCAAATGTGATTGCTTTCATATTGAGATAACGTGCAATTTTCTTTTTAAAGCAAAAAACAGTTTTAGAAACATTACATTTAGTCTTAACTCTGATAATCCTCATCAAGGAGGGGAAAAAAAACTCTATCTTCCATTTTTTTAAAAAAAAGAAAAGAAAAGCATTTAGGCCTTTCACATGTAAATAACCTGAACTAAATTAGAATAAGCAAAGGAAGCAATTATCATATTTTGTCAAACACCTGTTCTGCTGATCGCCAATTCCTCAGCATATGCTAAAACAATGCAAAATATAAAAGAGCTCATAAGTTTTTTTCCCCCTAAAAGAAACTTAAATATTTCACATTCTGTATTAACTTCCTTGAAGTATCTGTATCTCAAAGTATTTTCAGATGCAAAAATATATTGCTTAATGCTGACATTCTAGGAGCCTTTAGAAAATATTTCTAGAGTATCATAAACATACACCTTCATAAAATTAATACTGTGTTAAGTGCCAGAGCACACTTTTAATTTTAAGGCACAATAAGTTACACCTGCAAGATGACTAGGCTTAGTCCTTTTAACTTAGTTGCTCAAAGAAATTGCAGGAAAAAACCTTTCCGTTAGCTAAAATCTGAACTAAATTTTAGAATACCTAATTAAGGAAGGAGGAATATAGTTATGAACAAATATAATACTCATAACTCTAGCATTTCAGTGTTTCCAAACCACCTCCTAAGTATCTACATTATAGATTGGCAACCTATGGCCTGCAGTCTAAATAGAGCCAGTGGCTTGTTTTTGCAAATTAAGTTTCACTGGAACAATCATACCCATTCATATTTTCTATAGCTGTTTTCATGCTACCACAAAAGTTTAGTAGTTGAGACCAAGACCACAGGACTTGCAAAGACTAAAATATTTACTCCCTTGCCCTTTACAGAAAAAAGTTTGCTGGTCCTTATCTACATATTTACTGGCATAAGTATCTAAACGTAGTAAGAAAACATCCAATGCTGTTTAAGAAAATTGAATGTTGCTATAAATGAAATACTCTATGTAAATATCAGACAAATATATTAATACACATTTACATAAAAATGATATACAGCTTAAATTTTTAAATTCCATTGTACAACAAAAGAATTATTTATAGCAACCTTAAAGTTCTGCTATTTATAAGAACAACGTATCTATTTAGAAAGTTCATATTTATAACAATATAAATTTCATGTTTCACGAAATACTCAGTAACAGAATAATGGTGTTAAATTCACCTCAATTACTTAAAATATGTATTTTAAAAATTAAACAAGACTATCATTTATCTTCAGCAGACTATACCTAATGTATTTAGCAACCTAGATTTCTTTAAAATATCTATAGTATATAAATGTAACTAAAGTTTTTCAAGGAAAAAAAAGTTAAAACAATGTCTACAATGTGAAAGGAAAACAAAAGAACTGCAACATTCTAAATAACTGAGGGCAAGTAAAAGATTTTTTAAAATATATTTTCTAACCAAAATTATCCATATGTATCACTACCACTAAGAAACACAATTTTTGTGTGCAAAATTCTATAAGGCGTGTTTGTTCTGCCTATATAAGCAGAACCTCTGCAGGAAAAAAACAATGTCCTTATACCACTTAGGATTTATACACTGACAGAAAGTGGCTGACAAAATGCTTTTTTAAATACACCAAGTCATATCCTCCTGCTAGCTTACATTAGCTTCTAGTTAAATAGTCTCAACATTTCAGTTTCAAATTCTTAGTTTCTCCAAGTTTCTCTGTTAAGTAGTTTTACCTAATTACATCAAGGGAGCTTAATATAAATAAAGATTTTGGCAAATCCTTCCAAACAAGATAGATCATTTTGTAATGTGAACAGCCACCTCTATCTGATCAATTTTATATGTCTGGATTATTTTTTCTTCAATATTGTATCATAAAATTTTCAAGCATACAAGAAAACAAAGAACTGTATGATGACAGTCTACTTGTATGCTTGGCTTACTACTAAACACAGTACATCTTTTACGGATGATTTTTTCACAAGCTACCTTCTCGTTAAAAAATAAAATTACCATTAAACTAAATAACTAGAGTTAAAATCTGATTTTCAAATGCTTTTCTATTCTATTAACTCTATATAAATAGCTATATTATGGATACAATTTAGCCTCCAAAGTTTTTCTCAAATGCAAATGATAACATATATAAACCATAGTTCTTTGAGACGTATGTAATATTAACTAACAGGATACAATTTGGTAGAATACTCAAGAATTATATTCTCTTTGTATTTATACAATGAATAAAAGTAAATCAACAGTTGAACTTTATGATGTATGAATTACCTCAATAAAGCTGTTTCTTAAAAAAGCAAATCAGTTAACACTTGCTTTGGTTCAAATGAACAATTCCAGATATAAAAGGATCTTCTTTTACATAAGATAGGATTCCAATGATAGAACATGTTGCCTGACGATACGAATATGGAATTACCAAGCAAAATATACTTTAAAATAGATTATAAATTAATGCCACGATTGATGCTTTAGATTACTGAAGTGTTTCTAAATTTGGAAGAAACACAGTGTTAGTTTCTTCATTCTCATCACAATGCTTTGAACAGCTGGCTACATTAACACTGGGCAGGGGTAGAAACTGGGACAGTTAACACTGGGAGAGATTACCATCAGGGTAATACTGCTGGCTCATGCCTTCTGGAGGGCCTTGTCCACCGTGACTGTACTGGTCCCCGTAGTAGTCTTCCTGGCCTGAGTACTGCTGCGGTGGACCTGAAAACCCACAACCAGTCAAGACGTAAACAGTCTGTTCTCTGTGTCATCAAAGGCGTTCGGTCCAATCTGATGTTATGACAGATTATTTCTCAGCCGCAGATTCCCCATCCCATGCTCTACCATCTCAGACACTTCTGACTTTTCTTATACACACACATGCATAAACACACAGCAACAACACACACCACATTTCACAGAAATCAATGTTAAGACCATACATACAATGTCAAACAATACCAACTCAAAAAACACAAACACTACCTTCCTAAAAAGAGATTCAAACTGCAGAAAATTAACTTCCTGATATTAGTGCAGTTTGAAAGAAATTAGGGTTTGTTTCTGATCATACATTTAGTAATTTCTCAAAAATAAAATGGTGTTTTCTGCTGTAAGTTAGTGAGCTTGTAATAATTTGATGACATAACCTTTTCCCAGAAATGAATAAACAAAATCATAAACCAGGGAGTTCATATCCACTTTTCGTGACCCTCTGTGCCTACTATACCCATTACCTTTTAAGAAAAATAATAAAATATGATTTTCAAAATCAAGAAAGAAAAGGCTCTAACTTTGCCTATATGAAAACTTCGTTAAAATGGAAAGCCTCTCGAGCACTGTGAGAATTTCTCCCCGTGGAGCCATACCCTGTTGAGGTGGTCTATAGGGGGGGATCTGCCTCTGACCCAGCATATGATTGCCTTGGTTAACTTGACTCATCATCCCCATTGGTGGCTGCTGGCCTTGGTAATGCTGCCCACCTCCCTGGGGCATGTTGTACTGTTGAGAAGGAGGCTGCTGGTGCATCACTGGACCTGAAAACAGGCAAAACATTACACACATAATTGCTGGCACATAACTTCAACATCTTAAGAGAAATACAAACTTCTTGTATTGCCACATAATCCCTCAACTAGGTAATTTATTGGAAGATAAACTGACTTCAAGTAATATAAACAAATCTCTTAACTACAGTTCACGTGCCTAAAATAATCTGCAAACTAGGAAAAACAAGCAATCCATGGTAGCTGATTTGAATTCCACTGGAGGAATGTTGTAGCAATTTCTTAAAAAACAGAGTGGTTATAATATATGAACTTGCTAAATGCATATATTTTTCATTATGTACTATGTAATATTTATCCAGACAACCTTTCCAGAAAAGACAGAATCTTATGCTACATAAGAAAATATCTCAAAACAAAAAAACCCACAAAAGTCACACAGCAAATGAGTATTTAAACAGAGGGAAAGAAATCTAATTCCTGGGTATGTCTTTTTCCTTTTTCAATGCCCAATCATTATATAACAGTAGACAGGGAATCTACAAATGCATTTATAAATGTACTACTTATATCAGTGGAATTTCATACACAATTTTAAAACAAAAACCTAAGGGTCTTCTATTTTTCAACTTTGTGAATATGCGTGTTCAGTCATGTCTGACTCTTCGTGACCCCCATGGACTGCAGTCTGCCAGGCTCCTCTGTCCATGGGATTTTCCAGGCAAAAATACTGGAGCGGGTTGCCATTTCCTTCTCCAGGGGGTCTACCCAACCCAGGGATAGAACTCTCTATCTCTTTCATCTCCTGCACTGGCAGAATGGTTCTTTACCAGTTGAGACACCAGGAAGTTTTTTCAACTTTAATATTTACAAACTAAAACGGTCTTCCTGAAATCAAAGGGCTATAAATACTTAATAACCTCTAACACACACAGTCAAAAAAACACGTAGGCAGAGAATTACAATAAGCCATAGACTTAGAAATCAGAACTGCATAGTTTCCTGAGTGAGCAATATCCAGACAGTAGAACAACCACTGCTACAGTATCATCACACTGGCAACAGTAAAAATGTATCACACGATATAATCAACAACCATGAAGTTCCGTGTTGCCATCTAACAAAGTAGGTAGCTCCTCAGAGGTTCACTGGGCTAAGTTAAGGTATGCAGAGCCCATCATTTGAACATTATAACCATTACTGCCTGAGAAGGATGTATGAGTTGTCTCCTAATTTCCTGCTTAAATAGCTACATGCCCCACCCCGCCTTCACTGACTTGGGGGAAGAATTAGAAAAGTTTTACAGGCAAAATTGTCCAGATGAGCCAAAAGCTCACAATTTACATAAAAAATTAAAAACGCAACACACCCACCACTTTAAATATATTTCTGACTAACAACAGCAGGAACAATGTGAGCAAAGAGAATTCACTCTTTTCCAATATGAAGAACTGGCTATCTAAAGAAGTACTCTATTACAGCGAAAATTCTTTTTTCTCCTATTTGCCTTCTTCTATTCTACTTCTTTTCAAATTTCTTTTTCCTTCTAATTTTGTCATAAATATACGTCTTTCAAAGGTTACTCTGGGACTTTGTTTTCAACAAGGAAGTAAACTCAATCACAGGGATAAGATAGTTCAGTAGAGACTGGGAGGGGAAAAGAGAACCTGACACAGAACGCACTTGCTACCAGAAGTGCTCTCATGTTTACTTCATGTAAATCACTAACAACTACCAGAGGTAAGGATCCTAACTTTCCCGTGTTCAGCCAAGAAATCCAAAGATCAAGATTATATAAGCTAATAGACATCAACTGGGAATCAGGCAAAACTCCAGTTAGATTTCAAAGCAGATTTATTCCACTATTCTTCACTGCCTCTATTCCAGCTATAGCAAAGTTAGTAGTTCAGAAGCAAATTATGCAATGAAAAAGTTTCAAAATACTAATTTAATTAAGGGTACAATTTTTAAAACATTTTGTATATTGAACACTAGCATTCATAATAGAATAGGCAGCATAATTGACCATTTATAGAATTCATTTCCAGTAAATGAAGGTTTTGCCTTGTCTTTCTTCTTCAACATTGATTAAAGATCTCTTGTTTTAACAGAAGATCACTAAAAAATTAAAGCATATAATATGCAGTGGAACCAAAATTAAAGGAGAAAGAAAGCAAAACCATAACAGTTTGGGGAAAATCCAAAAAGACACAATAATAACAAAGTTCTAAGGTTTGCTCTAAAGGAGAAAACTAATTCTAGTTTAAGCCCTAGATAGAAAAAACCATGCCACTTGTGCTTTATCTTTTGGGACTGTCAGCAGTTCCAATCCCAAAGAGCTCAATTATCACCCTTCTCTTATTTTCTGTCACTTCTCTCCTTCTAAGGATCCACGACATCACTCAAGATCAAGCCTAAAACTGCAGAAAACAGAGCAGGAGAGCACTGCTAGACCACAGCACTTTTCATCTTTTTCCTTGAATCCTTATCTATTAAAAAACTATGACTTAATTCTGATTGTTTAGGAAGCATATTATTTTTCTTATGATAATGAAATATGTCACACTGGCAAATAAATGTGTATTGACATACTAAGTGATGTAAGAGTGCTAAATCTCAAAAGGCTACCCCAAAATAAGTTCTAAAAATCTGTGCTACAGAATAAAGATTACAAAATGAGTCTATTATAACCATTTTCTACAAAGTGTCACATCACACATTACTATATGCTTAAAGGCTATTTTTTATCTTTCACATAAACCTTTCTGACACTAAGAAGTACTTACTATAAAGGATGATATATACAAAGATCCTACTATCAAATACTCTATAGAAACAATGTCCTATATTTTAATCATATGTTGAGATGCAAAATAATAAAACTCTAAAGTCATATTATTAATCTATGAATAATTTCAAAAGATTAAAAATGACAGCTAACAGTTAATGAGCACTTATTATGGCCCAGGCATTAAGTTAAGAGCTTTATGTCTATTATTTATCCTCCTCAAACCCAATGAAACAGGTAGTACTGTTGTCAACTTCACTTTACAAGTAAGAAAACTTAAGGCATACAAGCATTAAGACTCTTACCTAAAGTTGTATGGCTAGGAAATGGTGAGAAATCTAAAGCCATGCTCTTAGCCATTATGTGTAACTATTCTCCAAAGTCAAATCAGACTTCTCCATGTAATATCTCATCTCCAAGAAAAACAGTCCTACATAACATTATCACTATAATAATAAAATCCTAGAATACAGTAAGTTTCTTCTTTTCATCTATTATCTCTGTGTTATAGTAAGAATGGCTATGAAACTATAGATAATATCCACTCCAAGCCCATTTTCTTGTTCATCTGTCATCACCTATTGCTCACATTTTACTACTTGTTCCTTAGCCATTCAGTCTCAAACTAAACCATTTACAGCTCTCATTTGAAAGTATTACTAATGGTTTATTTGTAAGAAGAAAATCCCTGTATTTCAGTAAATTCACTAACCCACTACCTATTAAAATACCATTTAAAGTGAATAGGATTCTTTACTTACCTAAAATCTACACCTGCCTTCATTAAGAGTTTTAAGTGGTTCATAAGACATTTAGAAAAAAACATCAAGGGTAAAAGAACAAGAGCTAAGTAAGAAAATCTCAGAAGTTTAGTAAAGTCACTGTTAACTAGTACAAACCGAGCTGAATTTCCTAGCAACCAATGAAGAAACAGAACCATGACAGCTTTTATCTTGTAAAAAGAACAATTTTTAGAGAAATCCCATAAAAGTATTTAAAAAGTACTGAAACGTAACAGTATCAACAACTTTTGTTATTGTTGTTAAGTTCTTCAGTAACACAGACCACCCTTCCATGCAGCTCCACAGAGCAACCATTTCTTAAGGCTGTGACTCTGTCCCCAGGGGACATTCAGTCAAGTTTGGAGGCATTTTGGTTGTCTCCACAGGTGCTGGGGGTTGCCTTCGGCCACCTAGTGGGTACGAGATAGAAATACTGCTAAATATCTCTGCACGGGGTAGGCCCCCACAGGAGAGACCGATGTAACTCAACATGCCAATAGTGCTGAGTTAAGAAGTCCTGGATTCTCAAGGGCATAATTCTACATCATAGGCATCTCTACAAACTAGTCTGAGGATTAGATTGTATATTTAGCTTTCTGCTGATTGAAAATTAGGAAAGGGATGTGTTGTGACTTCATAAATCCGACAAAGCAAAAAGCTACGCAATTTCTGTCAACTCCTCTGAACAGTTTCAACTATACTATATAATATTAATTCAAAAACAAAGCCCCTGTAGACTGCATCTACTGTAGACTGAAAGGAATTCCAAAAGCTTTAGATTTATGCGACACAAGTGACAATCTACTGTGAAAGTAAAGGCCCCATCTTGTTCAAACAAAAAGCCATGGAGATGGGCTATATGATAACATACAGCTTTGTGTCAACTTACCATGAAAGCTGAAAGTTATGAAGCATCAGGTACAGGAGAGATTATCCTGCCCAGATAAACTTCAGATGGAATAGGCTGTATAAACAGGCATGACTTGGAAGATTTGTAAAATGTAATTTCTAAAATTTACCCCGAGATTCTCAATTAATGCGCATGGGGTAGAGCAGACAAACCTTGTTTTAACAGGTACCCCTGATGATTCTGATGCCGGTGGTCTTAGGATCACACTTTGAGATAAAGACTTTTAACAGAAAAAAGTAAATCAATCATCCCCTTTTACCATAAATGAAGCTAGATTATGGTTAACACAAAACATTTAAACTGGAGTAAAACAGCATCCCATAAAGTCACCTAGGATGTTAGTTATGAAAGGAAGGCCAAGGAGTGTATGTGTTACAAATACATCAAAACCCAGTGAATGAGACACTTTTAAGATTTATTTCATTGTATGTAAATGTTACCTTATTTAAAAAAAAAAAACTATTAAAAGAAAAAGGAAAAAGTTTTAAACGTTGTGCTCTAATGCTATGCAGACTAAAGTGTTAATGGGCAAAAGTATAATAATATCTGC